AAAAAAAGCCTTCAGCAAAGACCTGCCACCTGCAGGCCCAATCTCGGTGGTGTGTGGCAGGGCCACATCAGAAAGATCTTCCACAATCAGCATGTCCTTCGCGTGGACCAGCTCACTTTCCTCGAGCAGGCCGCGTGCGAAGACAGGCGATTTCCTCCAGCGCAGATAGGTGGCCTTGCCAGCGTCACAATCTCCAGGCAAAAGCAAGAGGCCAGGCAGGATCAAATTCCTGGAAGAAGGGTGAATCCGATCCTTTATATGAAAAGACTTGTTTATTCTTTTCCACAACATTTTAATTGCAATAAAAATGGTATATCCCGGCCCTGAATCAGAACATTTGGAAAGTTTGGACCAACATATTGTTTGCTAAGTTGTTGAAAACCAGTCCTTTTTTCCCTCTCATCATTCTTCCCCTTGAATGGCAGGACAAATTGATCATCCAGATTGCAATTGCTTTGAGACAGCGCATCATGGCAGATCTTCTCCTGCTTGTGGGCTGTCCCCCGTGTCCGGCAATAGACAGGGGAAATCAAAGCTCCCAAAGCTTCGCGTCCCGGGTGGTTGACAAAGGCTCCAGCCAATTGAGAGTGCAGCCTCTGATGCTCAGCCGTGAACAAGCATGGAGCCGCCCAATTCAGCACCACCAGTGTTTGGATCTGATTGGGATCGCTGAGTTGTTGAACTTGGCAGATCTGCTTCACCTTGGTTTCCACAAGCTTGAAGGTCTCCTGAGCGGTGTCCAAAGGCATAAGGGCGGTCACTTGGTCGATTTGCTCGTCAGCCAGCTCCTTGGAGGCCGAAAGACGCTTCTGCCGGTGCTGCATGAGTTGAAAATGCACGGCGGCTTGTCTATCCTTGCTTCGGGTCAAGTGCGCCTTCCACACATCAAGATCATGGTCCAAAGTTTGCATCACCAAGTCAAACTCTTGTCTTTCCAGGGCTGCAGCTTCCACCGCCGTGTTCTTGCCAAGCTTTTGCAAGTGCGCGTGGGACTCCGACACATGCTCTGAAATCAGCTTCTTAATGGTGGGCAAGTCTGAACATGTCCACTTGGAAGACCTTTCCGCCAATGCTGACTGAAGCTCCAGTTCCAAGGCCATCCAAGAAGCTTTGGACCACTTGGCTTGCAGCATCCTGGTGAATGGGATACTGCTGGGCGGCTTCTGTCAAGGCGCTCACCAAGAGCTGTGACATGTTCAGGGCCTCTTCCAAGGAAGGCTTGTCGTATTTGCAGCGTGCGCCAGGCAACTTCCGCTCATGGGCGTGGCTGATGAACCGGATCATCATAAGCATGCCTTCCGAGGTGACACACAAGCGTTGGTTCCACTCCTTTGAGCTGGTTCTCGGGGCAGCTCCAATGACAAGCCTTTTGTTAGCAAAGGCATCCTCCTGGAAGGCAGTGGACCCAGCATGAGCGCTCAAATGGGCAAGCAGGGCGTCAACGATTTCTGCGCTCATGCCAAGCAAGTTGAGCAGAGCCACCCTTCTCATCCCAGTCACCTGAGATGCTGAAGTGGCTTGTTGGTTCCACCTCTTCAAAACCTCTGGAGCCGAGAGCCCACTCTTTTGCAGCGCCTGGAAGACACCTAGCCAGGTCAAAGTGCAATGAGCACGGCGGATGGAGCCACGTGCACTCAAGCGGGGGTTGGCAAACGCAACCGCTTCCGAATCAGCAATCATCAGCTCCTGCCTGGCAAAAATTGTCACCATGGACGCTTGAAGAGCAGGATTCAGGATGGACAAATCCCAGCTCTGCTCCATCACCACAGAAGCCAACATCAGCAAGGTCGCAGAACGGGCTGCGCCCTTGACATAGTTCGTCCAAAAGTAGTCAAAGGCATCAGGGCGCTCCACCAGCAGGATGGGGTCACCTTGTACAATTGCGCACATCTAGGTATTTGGAAATTATGAAACTCTTTTGTTTTTATGTGCTCAGCGGTACTTTTTCAGCACCAGTGCCACCTCATTATACAATCTACAATAAACACAGAGAACGTATGAACATGTTTTGTATTGATCATCTAATACTAAGATCTATTAAATACGATGCGGCACTTGTGCAGCGCCGCTTTAGCTTCGTTTGGCTGCGTCAAAAGCCTTGCAGTCCAGTCACTGCGACTGATAAAGTTATTGGTCAAGTACTCGTCGATGAGCTGCTTGGCCGTCAACCTGAACGGCAAAGGTTTGCTCGAGCAGCGGCTCCCAAAACCCAGATCTTTCAGTCGCAAGGGTACCAGCCGGTCTGGATCAGTTGGAAGCGGGCCCGCATGATATGCAATAGCCGGGTCCGGTGGAAACTCCAAATCAAGTTGATCTGCAAAGCCCTTCACTTCTTCCGGGCCGGCATACCTTGCTTGCAGGTATTGCGTGGGCCCTCCAAACTCGGCAAGCAATTTGTCAACGTGTTCCTGACAAACCCTGGCAAAGTTCTCGGGGCTGACGCCCACCGAGGACACAGCGACAGGAGGTGGCCGCAGAGCACCAGTCTCAGTTTCAACAGGAGCCATGGCCTCCATTTTGGCATCTGTCTCTGGCTTGATGTCCATCCCGCCACTATGTGGTGGTGAGCCACAGCACTCAGCACAGGTACATACAACTCAGCCAAGGATGCTGCGGCAGTAGAAACAACAAATTGACAGAGAAGCCACCATCTTTCAGGTAAAGCAAAAATGTCTTTCATTCCAACCTTAGTTGAGTTCCAAGGCCCCAGACCTAGATGCCAACGTTGCAGAGAGTTGACCTCAGGTCAAGATAATACCGACCAAAAAATCCAAAATCCAAAAAACAAAAGTTCAAAACCCAAATTTCCAAATCAAAATTTCCAAAAGGTGACGATCATCGCCTACAAAAATTTGTATGCGAAGATCTTCTCATTTCGGTAGAAACGCGCCGATCTTTGGGCTGTTTGAGTGGTTTGTGAAGATCATCGCCTACAAAAATTTGTATGCGAAGATCTTGCAACTCCATGCTCCTTTTCCCAGCCTTGGAGAATACTCAATATTCTATTCTCTCAAATTTCTAATTTCGCCAAAGGCTGTGACAGCCTTTGAATTGTATGCACTCAAGGCCTGCTCAAGGTCTGAGCCACACCATCAGCCAACAGGCAAGCCATGCGCCAGGGATACTTCTGGCAGTGCTTCGAAAGGGAAATCCCTCCCTCAGACCCCTCAATGTGGCGGTGAGCCACACTGCAACTGCACTTGAGGGGACTGAACAACGCAGCCAAGGTTGCTGAATTGGTCATTATAGTGGTCGGCTTTTTGATCGGCCGACCCTCGACCGGAGACGCAAGGCCCAGGCAGCATTGGTCGAAATCAACTTTCACAATGCCATCCATGCCAGCCACTTCCTTTACCGAATCCCTTTGCCAGCTTGAGGCAGACTTGGGATGCTCATAGGCAAACCACTGGCCTTTGCGGACTTGCCTTTTGGCATAGTCCATGCTGCAGTCCACATAGGCATTTGCAGAGGTCCATCTTTCTCAAGCTCTTCAGGGGAAAGCTTCTCGAAGTTCCGGAAGCAGACCTGCATCCGGCTGAACATAGTGCAGGGCGGTGACATCATGATGAACTTGACATTGGCCAGTAGATCACGAACTTGTTTCCTGGAGTCAAAATTGTCCAGGTTGAAGCCCGTGTCCAGGTCAATGGAGATGTCAGCTTTGAGTCCCAGTTGGCGGCATGGAACAGACACCCTCGGCGGAGAAAAAAGCTCAGCGAAATCTTGGCCACCGTCATCTTGATCGATGACAATGGCAATGGGAAGATGCGGCTCCAAGACGTCCTTCATGTCCACATCTAAGTCTTGAGGCTCCACATCAGTAGCGTCAGTCAGATCTATAACATCTGAACCTTCAGGTTCCCACACAAACGCGCCCAGGCGCTGCAAGGCCATAATGATGACAGGCCAAGTTGAAGATCACGTCACTGCAGCTTGGGCCAGAACTTTCAAGGAAGCCGTCTTACATATTTCTGGGTTGAAGCACTTGCGCAGCGCTTTTATATTACCGTGATTATTTCAACGCGAATCAGATTAAATCTATGATTGAATAAGAAAGGCGCAAGACACAGAAGACACTATGACTTGAGGCCCAGGCCATGGGCAGCAAGTTCATAGAACCACCAATGAGGGCAAAGCCTCGGGCAGAGGAAGGTCAAAAGAAACGAAGCTGCATGGAAATACAATTCTAACCATATTTGCGCGCTTGTTGTGGAATATTGGCTGCTATTAAGCATTTGTTTTCTGTCTTCCTTTGCGAAGTGCAATCAGCTACTGAAGGAGAAAAAGACCCTTAAGAGTCGTCTTGGTTGTTTTTGCAATGACGAGATGGCTCCAAGATGCCCCTCATGTCCCCTTATGTCCACACATCTAAATGTTGAGGCTCGAGATCAGTAGTGTCAGTCAGATCTATAACATCTGCCTTCGGGTTCCCACACAAGCGCGAACATGCGCCGCAAGGCCATAAAGCAGCGGGCCGGAGGCTACAATCATTGAGGCCGTCTTAATTTTATTTCTAAGTTGAAGCACTTGCGCAGCGCTTTTAAATTACCAAGTCTAATTTAGCAAGTCTCAGTCTTACAGATTTAACTCTTTCAAAAGAAAGGACCAAAACACTATGATTTGAGGCCCGGGCCCTGAGCAGCACATTCTGGCAGCCACCACTGAAGGCAATGTCTTGGGAGAGGAAGGTCGCAGGAAAGTAAAAATTGGAGATACAATTCTAACCGTCATACTTATTAGTTTGTGGTGGAATACTTGGTGCTGTTAAATTGTCCCCCAGTTCTGTTCTGTTTTCCTTGGCCCATGCGTTCTAATTTTTAATCATCGAGATTGTCCTATTTCTAAACTGAAGCACTTGTGCAGCGCTTCTGTATTAGCATGATTTAGCAAATCTGGTATAGTTTTATGCGACCCCATGAGAAAGGCCAGAACATTATGACCTGAGGCCTAGGCCCTGGACAGCGCATTTTTGCAGCCGCCTACTGAGGGCCCATAATGAAGGCAAAGCCTTGGGGCGCGGGGTGTTCCAAACCTCCAGGTTTAACAGCACCGTGTCACCCAGCTTCAATCGTTCTGTTGAAATCCAATGGCAGATAGGAAGGGGCATACGATTGAGGCTGCAGTCAGGGTTGCACGGTTAGTTCAATCTGATCACTGTAGAAGGCAGCAGATCCAAAGGAAAGATTGAGCTGATTGGCAAAAAGGATCTGGGAAGCATGCTGAGGGCCCTGACTTCCACCAGGCTAGCTGCCTGACACTGACAAATTCAGGCATAAATTTCCAGCTTTGAAGGTGGCTAAGCATTCTAACGACTCTGAAGCTTGCTAAGATCAGCAATGTTTTTTCTGGCCAAAATCACCAAGGGTCAGTGAGAGCGCTTTCCAAAATTTTGGTCCAAAATGGTCAAAGCCAAATGCTTTTCTAGGATCCCCACCGCGGTCGTGAGGGATCCCAAATCCAAGCCGATTCATCGTCATTGAGCTTCAAGCCAGCCTTGCGGCGACACTCGTTGCACCCATAAGCGCTGGTGCGGCGCTTGTTGTGACCAGCTTCTTTGATTTGCTGCAGCGCATCCAAAGCTCCTTCCGGGAAAGGCAACTGGGAAAGACGTCTGTAGGCCTTTTTTTGACCGGCCGGTTTTGGGGCAGCCGCTGGCCTCTTCAGGGCAGCGGGCCTTCTCATCACTGGCGCTTCAGGTTCATGAGCTTCAGAATTGTAGACTCCGGCTGGAGCTCCGTTGCGGCCTCGCACACAAGAAGGCGCTCCAGCTCCAGGGTTCACTCTCGGTGGGGGCCTGGACGGTTCATCCGGCAATTCAAGCTCAGATCCTTCAGCTGCAAGCTCCTCAGTAGCAACAGATGGCGCATCAGGTAGATCAGGGGTTTCTGCCATGTTGTCGCTGGCATCCGGCAAGCCTGGCTCTTCGTCACCACTGCCAGGTAAAGGAGGGCCTGTCTCAGCAACAGCGCCTCTGGCAAAATCTGCTGGGGCCTTGAGCGTTTTTTTGGCCATCATCTTGACCCGCACACGAGCTGGGTCTCGGTTGGCAAATTGCAGAGCTGCGCTAGGAATGGAGCTGGTTGCAACTGCTGGGCCTTCCACATGCGGCGCACCATAAAAGCCCCGCGACATCTTTGGAGGCTTCCAAGACGAGTCATGGCCATCTTCATTGTCTTGAAGCAGCTTTAGCAGGTAGCCGGTGGCATCATGCAGGAGCCATGGAGGCAGGCCGATGATTTGCGCTGTTTTACCAAACTCCTTTTTTTGTCGCGCTGAGAAAGGAACTCGCGGGACAAGGCTCTCAGGTTCTGGCTGCAGTGCGTCGAACATGTAGCTCTGGGCAAAGGTCATTGGAGCCTGGCAGAGATCTGCTGATGATAAGTAATGTTGGCAGCAGAGAATGATGTCGTGTTCACTGGCAGGCTCTCGGGCTTGCTTCGGCAAAGGATCGACTTCCCAGGACTCAGCCCGGACACCTTAAAAGTGCTAGTCGCAGGCTTGCAAGCTTCAAGACAAGCTTGCGACAACAAAATGTAGCAAAATAACCCAAGCGGGAAAACGCACTGCTTAAATGCGAGCCAGTCTCTGGTTGCAAACTCGCCTCTCTTCAAGGAATGGATTGCCTCTTGGTTTTGCTCGCTCTTGTTCTTCGTTTGGGTATGGCCAGTGACCTCAGTACCAGAATACTTGTGGCGCAAAAGTTTAAGCACGTTGGGCATATTACTATTACCTATCAAGTCAAATACAACCAACCAGTGCCAGTCAAATGCTTTCTGAGTACTATCAAGCCACGTTGATCGGTATGGGCTCCAGCCACGATTTGAAATCCCTAGCAGCCGACAGGATGTCGACATGCAGCGCGCGGCCTTCGCGAGGTTTGAGGTTCTTGAGCAGGAAGTCCTGATAGGCTTGCGGCGTTTGCAGTTCATCGGCTGATGCCAGTAGGGTTCGGATTTCGCTGAACCTCTGATCCACCTTGAAGTGGGTGTGTCCCACCCTGAACATCGTCATGAGCCCGGGGGCCACAATGTCACGGGACACCATCGTGCTGAGGGCTTTCATAATCCACTGGTTCTTCCCTTCAGAAGTAGCATTGTCTGTATGAACTCTTAGCCGATCTGGCATTTGAAGCCCTTTGGATTTGAAGTGGGATGCAGCAAGCTCCAAGGTTGCATAAAGGATCGTGTTTTGAAGGTCACT